TGGATGTGCTCCATGTTTGTGGAAGAGATGAGCCATTTACCATCAACAGACCAGTCCCCAAAGCTGCCTCCTGCCTGAGAGCTTTCTCCTGCAGGTCCTGGGATTTGGGGTGCCTCCTATCCATCTCTCTCTCCCTCTTCTGAAAAGCATCAAGGAATGCGGCAAATCCAGGAGATGTTGGCACATTGTCCCTGTGGTGGGGAGCAGCACTGGCAGGAGGCCACGTTAGGGTGTCTCCAAGACCTGATGGTGCTTAGGAGCACAGGGTGTGCCCCAGAAGTTCAGCAAGGGGACCTGGCTGTGCAGGTCACCCTGTTCTTTTACACAGGGTTTAGGAATTCTGACTTTCCTCTCAAGTGGTTAGGAATAGTGTGTCCCTGACCCTGTGCTGTGAGCTGTGAGGGAGCAGCCAGTAACTTGGTTAGCTGTTCTGATTCCTCTTGGTCCTGGATGTGGACTGGGTGTCACCTTGCCGAGAATCAACCTTTCTTTCCAGTACAGTTCCCTCACATCACCTCCCCTCCACTCCTCTGTGCTCTGATGCTGAACCTGCAGGTGGATGGAGATGGTCTAGGGAGCACGTTCAAATTTGGTTTTTAAGAAGGAAAAATTGTTTTAAAATATGATTTTGCTGATGTTGGAGGTTGGTTGTGCCTGCTGCAATGCCATCCCATGCCATTGCTGTGCAAGGATGGGGCATAACCGTGGGTATGAGGCCCTGGCACAGGTTGCCCAGAGAAGCTGTGGCTGCCCCATCCCTGGAAGTATCCAAGGCCAGGTTGAACAGGGCTTGGAGCAACCTGGTCTAGTGGAAGGTTTCCCTGCCCGTGGCAGGAGGGTTGGAACAAGATGATTTTTAAGGTCCCTTCCAACCCAAGCTATTTTATGATTCTGTGACAACCCTGGGGCTGTGCTCAGGGCAGTTTGGTCCTGTACAGCCCCTCTAGCTGGGGCACAGAGCTGCTCAGGGGGCTGAGGGCAAGGAGGGACTCAGAAAAGGGGCACTGCCCCCTCTTTGAGAGGTTCCTGGCTCCATCCTGTATCTCCATCCCTCTGCAGGCTGAGGCAGGGGGTTGCCCCTCCAAGTACCACCCATGTGCCCTGCAGCGCGAGCCGCGAGAGGCTTTGCAAGAAGAGGCTTGTTGTTTCAGCTGATTTCAGTGTTTTAATTTGAAGAGGAATAATGTGTAATCACAACAACTGTCATCTGTTTGACAGTGGAAAATCCCAGATCTCCCCGTGCTTTTTTGTGCCCCGTGCTGGGCAGCCTTTCAGCAGCACGAGCTGCTCTGCAGTCACATTTGTAGTCCTGGTGGGATGAATGGGTTCAGACCAGCTCACTAATCTAATTTGTAATGTATCCTTATAACGTATAATTGGCTGTTTAATTTAATTCAAATTAACATAAGAATGGAAAATACAATCTGCTGTGTATCCCACATGGTGGTGGGAGGGAGCGTTGGGTGTTCCTGCAGAGAGGTTGAGAGGTGGCTTTGTGAGACCACCCTTCGTGGGGATGGAGGCGTCATCTTGGATGTGTCAGTAGGCACCGTGTGTGACAATAAATCACTCCCTTTCCCCAGCCTTCCAAGTGCCTATCTGTCTCATCTCCCTTCCTTATCTTTCTAGCCATCTATTTAAAACACATATAGAGCGAAGGCAGCTTGCTTTGGAAAACTGTCGGTAGCGACAGGGTGTGAAAGCTGGCAGGCGCCGAGTCTGATTATGTTGATTGGATATTGTCTAATCTGATTTTGATTGTGTACAGCTTTGATTGTAATTTTGATACGTCTGCAAAATGCTGTAGCTGTTTGGAAAGCTTTGTGATTTAAACAGGTCTTTTTTCTTTCTCTTTTTTTTTTTTTTTTCCCCTGGGTTGAATAGAAAGAGGCAGAAACGTGCCAGGGGGTGAGCAGGGCTACGGGGCTTTGGCACTCCCTACAAAACCACCTCAAAGCCCTTGGGTGAGCTGCTCTGCAGCAACACAAGGAACTCATAGTTTTGAAGAGAGCTTTAGGAAACTTTGAGTGGGTTTTACATAATTTAGTTAAGCACAGCAAAGCCACTTGCTTATATACCTGATACCAAAATAAACCAGTTGGAGAACAAGTTTGCTGTGTGATGATTTATTTAAATCCCTTTCTGTAAAGCATGGAGTGAAATCCTCTTAAATAACTGGGAAAGAATCGGTGTACCTCGAGGAGCACAGCCCAAATGGAATCCTTGCTAGCAGATGTATTAAATGGGATCTCTCTGTCTGCTGTTGTGTACATTCCCTCAGCCTCCTCTCTATGATAACACTGTTAGACAGAAGCTGGCTGGAAAAGTAGCTGGGCTTGAATTTCCCCTGAACAATAACAGTTGGTACAGAGCTATCAGGGCCCAGGCTCTGTCTCGTGTTTCTGGCATGCTCTTGTTTCCCTACAGCTGGTGGGAATCTCAGGCAAACATGAAGGTTCTGGGCAGATATGCAGTACCTGCTCTTGAATCATCAAATGGTTTGAGTTGGAAGGGAACTTAAAGGTCATCTTGTTCCAATCCCCTGCCATGGGCAGGGACAACTTCCACTGGACCAGGTTACTCCACCCTGGCATTGGACACTTCCAGGGATCCAGGGGCAGCCACAGCTTCTCTGGGCAACCTGTGCCAGGGCCTCCCCACCCTCACAGGGAACAATTTCTTCCCAATATCCCATTTAACCCTGCCCTCTGGCAGCAGGAAGCCATTCCCCCCTGTCCTGTCATTCCATCCCTTGTCCAAAGTCCCTCTCCAGCTCTCTTGGAGCCCCTTTAGACATGGGAAGGAGCTAAGGGCTCCCTGGAGCCTTCTCTCCTCCAGGCTGAACACCTTCAACCCTCCCAGCCTGGCTCCAGCCCTCAGAGCATCTTCGTTGTCGCCTCTGGACTTGCTCCAGGAGCTCCACATCCTTCCTTGCTGAGGACCCCAGGGCAGGAGGCAGCACTACAGTGGAGTCTCCCCTGAGCAGGGCAGAGCAGCAGAATCCCCCCCCACCCGCTGCCCATGCTGTGGGACAGGCCCAGGACAGGGGGGGTTTCTGGGCTGTTTGGGTGCACACACATGTGCAACCTTTCCTCCAGCAGTACCCCAAATCCTTCTCTCACAGGGCTGCTCCCAGTGAGCACCTCTCCCAGTCTGTGCTCCTGCCCGGGTCACCCTGAGCCAGGGGCAGCATCTTGCACTTTGACTCGTTAAACCTCGCTCTTCCCGAACTTGTCCAGGTCCCCCTGGACATCCTGTCCTTCTGTTCTGTCAGCAGCTCTTTTCTTTGTCTCTTTCTGCAATGGGGTGAGGGAAGGAGAGAGGTGAGGGTTCAGCTTAGCAGAGGACAAGCTGCCACCAACCCCAGTTTTGGGGTGAGGCAGGAGTGACCCCCTGCTCTGACACCCCAGACAGCCCTGGCTCTCCCTGGCAGTGCCCTTTCACCAATCCACAGATCCCTCCTTGCTCTCTCCTGCCTTTCCCACTGACTTCTGTGCTCTGGTTAAAAATGGGCTTTAATTTATTTTATTAAGGGCTTTCTCCCCACTCTGTGGGGTGATGAAGAGCAGGAATCTGAGGATGAGCCCTGGGACAATGGATTAATAAAACCTACAGCGCTTAACTGGTTTTTTTTAACATCTGGGGTTTTACTCTTAAATCAAGTATTAAGTCAAAATCCAACCATGAAACTACGTGATCAGGGAAATTTAGCTTAAAATCCACGTGTATAATACTATGGCTAATCAGAATTTCATATGCTATAATAATAATAATATGTGAAACAGTAGATGTTTAGAATCAGCCTCCTCTGCCAGAGACTCATTATGTTCTGCATTGATAATTAATAATTTTGGATAGATTCACACTTACATTATGAAGCAAATATGTTTTTGTCTGAAGCGAAAACGATTGCACAGGTGCAATAACATATTCTTTATATAAATTGGAACGCTTAGAAGTAAACAAGCCTCCAGAAAAGATGGGGAGCAGACGGAGTACTGACATCTCTGTGTGTTCGTGTCACCTCGAGGCAGCGTTGGTAGGGAGGTGAGGGAACACTTCTCCAGATGAAATTTGGGAGAGGGTATAAGGAAGGACAAATCTCCATGTGTGGTGAAGTCATGCAGGCTTCCTTTAAAGGATTTTTTAACAAGTGATGGCTGTGTTTGCAAATCTCCCTCCCTGGTTGTAGCTTCTGTGCTGGAGTTTTTGAGGACTCGACAGGAATTAGGACAAGAGGGAATGACTTTAAACAGAAAGGGAGAAGAGTTAGATTAGATATTAGGGAAAAATTCTTTACTGTGAGGGTGGGGAGGCCCTGGGACAGGTTGCCCAGAGAAGCTGTGGCTGCCCCATCCCTGGAAGTGTTGAATGGGGTTTGGACCAATCTGGTTAGTGGAAGGTGTCCCTGCCCATGGCAGGGGGTTTGGAACTAAGTGGGGTTTAAGGTCCTTTCCAACCCAAACCATTCCATGATTCTTCAAATATTGTTCCCAGGTAATTATTATTTCTACAGATCTAATTCTCATAAAAACTCTTAAAAATACCAGCTGTAGGTACTGTAAGAGCTGAGCTGGGTGCCCAGAGAGAGACTTTGACTTACAAATGCCTCGGCTGGTCGGGAAGCAGCTCTGCCATGGTTGTGGCTCTGCAAGCATCCCTGGCCTGGCTGTGGTCCAGGCATGGAAGTTTCTGCTGAGGTTTTGGCGAGTTAAAGATGTGCAAGAGGGATGAGGGGAGCAAGGGGATGACCTGAGTGGATCTGAGATGTGTGAGGATCCATGGTGTCTCTGAGGGATGGTGGTGCAGCACTACCACACTTGCACCCTGGCTTCTGCCTAGTTCCAACCTGGTGTGCAGTGCTTGAGTTATCCTTTTCATTACAGCAAAACCATTTTCACTGGAATGTGCTTTTGTATTTCTTACACAAATGATCATTTCCTTTGCTGAACCAGTGGGGCAGTGACAAAATGTTGCAAAATGTCTTTTTCCCTTTTCAGACGTACAACAGCCAGAATGAAAACAACGAGGACTACGAGATCCCTCCCATAACGCCTCCTAATCTCCCTGACCCTTCCCTCCTGCACTTGGTGGACCACGAAACTGGATATCACTCTCTGTGCCACAGCCTCCCTCCCAACAGCCTGATCCCAGCCTACCCCTACCAGAACATGGACCTGCCGGCCATCATGGTCTCCAACATGTTGAGTCAGGATGGGCATCTCCTCTCCAGCCAGCTACCCACGGTCAGTGCCTGTCCCCTCTTACTGTCTTTCATCAAAGCTGCTCTGTATTTTGAGTTATGGGTCAGCTGAGCATGGAAGGGTGTTGGTGATGAGCTGTTTGCCTGAGGGAGTTGGCAGCTCCGTGGTGCTGCCCACCAAGGCCGGGGTGCAGTGGCAGAGACTGGAGTCACCTGAGTGGCCATGCACATGGTGTCAGTTCTGTGTTTCCAGTTTGGTGTCTTCCTGAGCCTCATGAACCACTCAAGAGCAGGAGAAGGTTGTTTTCCTCTGTGTATTTAACATCCTCCCTGAACCAAGCGAAGTGCACGTGCTCCATCCCCCGTGGGGAATGTGACCAGCCAAAGCCTGGAGTTCATAGCCCTGCATCCTTTCTCTTCATCCCTGTGTCCTGCTGCCAGGGTGGCCCCAGTGGCATCAGCAGGAGGAGCATGGATGCTCCCTGAAGGGAAAGCTGTGTGATTGATTTCAAAGGGAACAAGATCCCTCCTTGCGCTCGCAAGCTCAAATTGCCTCTTGCCTCACTCCGTGGCAAGGGGATACCTTGGGAGGTTTCAAATGACTCATCTGTAGGGATAAACAAGGCAGGGATAATGAAGTTGAAGTGCAGCTCTGGGAAGAAACTTCAGGGCTAATTAGACCTTACGATGCTTCTGCATCGGCAGCACCGAGGAAAGGTTGTGACTTGATTTTGACAGTGATACTGAATTAATACTGTTGCTGTTTAATACCATTTTCCTCTTTAGCAGATTTAGCCCTGTGGTTGGGTTTCGACATTGTTTCTCTCTAAGATCATTGATTTTGGATGGCATCGATATCAAACAGAGTTAATTTGACTTAAAGAGTGTGGCTGGGAGGCTGCCCCTGCCTGGCTGGGGAGCTCTTGGTGTTGATTGCTTGACTAGATAATGGTCTGAGAGGTAGTGATATTTAAATATTTAAATGGGATATTATCTCTTAGCCTAGGAAAATCCCAAGGCTTTCTAAAGTCCTGATGAGTCTCCAAGTTTCATTGTTAGTGTGTTTAAGAAAAATATCATGTTCTGCCCATCAGTATTGAACAGAGGCATATTTCTATGGAATTAAATATTACTTAGGGCTCTGTGTTAGCTTCTAGGTTCTTAGGTGATTAAAACATTCATTTCTGAGACAAAAAGAGTCAATTTCAGCTGAAATATTTTTCCCTGGTTTAATTTAAAGCACAGCCCCTTTTCTTGACCCCTATTTTCATAACACGATAATTTTATCCTGTGTTGATTGTCTCATTTTTGGAGGTGATATTGCACTTATAAATCACTTTCTAAAATACCTAAAGAAAAAAAGAGTCGGGGGATTTATTAAGCAGCTTCCCTACGTCTGAAATAATTTATTTTGGAGTAGTCCTTGGGAAATGTTCTCTTTCTTACTTTATGGTACTGTTTTACAAATGCAGCGTGGTGACAATAAATCAGGACTGAGCCAGAGAAGATAAGAAGGGGGCTTAGTGGGCTGTAAAAGTAGAATAGAGAGATTAAGATTTGTTTGCCCCTTACCAAGAAAATAAAAAAATCCAGTGAACCCTGAATTTCCCAGCCAATAGTGAATTGAAACTGTTTGGTTTTGAGTGGAAACCCTCGGAGCTGTAATACATCTTCAGAGGTCCTGACAGCAAAGGGAGGGGATCAGAGAGGGAGCTGTGTTGCACTTTTACGTCAGAATTAAATCCTGCCTTACCCTCCTGCCAAAGCATTTTTTTCCCACTGAAAAGTGACACCTTCTGTCCCCTCTTGGGTGGGGGATCGAGTCTCCCCTTCATCCAGCACCAGCCCACGATGGCAGCGTTTGTCCCACAGCACACCTACAGCTGCTGTTAGTGCTGAAGGGAGCAGCACACGCACATGAGGACACAATAAAACCCTGGGGAGAGAGCAGATTTTGAACTCATACAGTTAATACCCTATAGCACCTTGCAGTATCTAAAGGGGCTCCAGGAGAGCTGGAGAGGGACCTTGGGCAAGGGCATGGAGGGACATGACAAGGGGGAATGGCTTCAAACTGACAGAAGGCAGGGTTAGATGGGGGATTGGGAAGGAATTGTTCCCTGGGAGGGTGTGAGGCCCTGGCACAGGTTGCCCAGAGAAGCTGTGGCTGCCCCATCCCTGGAAGTGTCCAAGACCAGATTGGATATGGCTTGGAGAAACGCGGTCCAGTGAAAGGTGTCCCTTCCCATGTCAGGGGAGTGGAACTAGATGGTCCTTAAGTTCCCTTCCCATCCAAACCATTCTGTGATTCTTCACCTCCTGCCCACGTGCCTGTCAAGCCACAGCTCACGGGGTGGTGTCCCCATGAAGCCAGAAGTGAGTCAGGCGTCGCTGTCTGATGGCACAGGGCACACGACGTGCTCCAACCCTGCCAAAGGCACCCACCACTCATCACCAGGTGGGTGTTTGCAGCAGGAAACCTCCACATCAAGAAAAGGGCTTGTTTGCCAACACTTCCAAAAGGAGAGGGTTCATTGCCACATGGGTAGTGATGAGAAACCAGTCTGGGGCTGAGCGGTGCCTGAGCACAGAGGAGGTGGCTCAGCCCTGGGAGGTTTTGTCTTTGTTCCAGCACCAGCCTTGCTCATGCAAATGCTGGAGCTGGAGCCTCTCTCCTCTGTCCTGCTCCTTGCTGTAGTTCATACAGGTTTTTGCATACACAGCTGTTTCCTGCCTTGGCTACCATGTCTTTTGGTTTGAGTATGGTGACAAATGACAAGCAATTCCACGTAAAATATTTAGATGTTGGTCAGACTTGTGCTCTAAAAATGTAACTTGAGCCTTGGGATTTTTTTAAGGCATCCTCGTGAAAAAAATATCAAGCTGCTGGAAAGAGGTGGGTCCTAACTCCCAGAGAACCATGAGACTGGAATTTTCTTTAAGAGCTCAGAAGTAAATAAAGAAAATACAGGTGCAGGTTGCTGTCCCCTGTGATGTGTCTCCTGTCCTGGGATGTCCTGACATTACCCTTGGATTGCGTTAAGCCTCCCAGTGCCTCTGCCAGAGATAGTCTGCTGCTCTCACTGTGGAGGTGACCAACTCAGGGTGATTTTAAATCAGCACAGAAATTCCCATGGCAGGGTGGGAGCTGGAGAGTGGAGGTGGATTTGCTGTGTGCTGGACCCCACTCCTGCCTCCAGCCCACCCACAGGCTGTCAGGAGCTGGAGCCCCTTGTTCAAGCACAGCAGCTGTGCCCTGATGGGGAAAACCCAAATCCACTACCACTTCTGTATTTCCTTATCCCCTCAGGATCATCATCCAGAGCACCCTCCCCACCACCAGCCTCTGCACACTTTGCTCTGCCCATGGACCAGCTCTGCATTTCCATGACGTGATTCTTCACTGCTGTTTCTCTCCCTTTATTTCTCTTTTTTTTTTGAGTTTTTGGAAGTTGAGGGAGTTTTCAGTCGCTGGATGTGAGGTGTAGGGAGCTGGAGAGGAGGGAAGCAGGGATGGATGGACAAGAAATGGCACAGGATGTGATGTGTGGAGGATGCTGGAAAGGGGTTGTGGGGAGGCTGGGGAGGAGGCAGGACTGGCTTGTTTGGGGAAAACTTGTTATTTTTTGTGTAGTGACAAGAAACAAACAGAAAATTCTTACTACGGTGGATTTTTTTTCCTACTGGCCTCTCTTTTGCTATGGGAAAAGAGGAAGGAAAGAAGAGGAGTGGCAGGAGGGAAAGGAAATAGGAGAGATGTGACTGGCGCTGAGAAATGGAAATATTTAGGAAAAAATTGTTTTCCTTGGGAAGAGAATGACTTTGCCCACTGTGACCATCCCAACAGTGTGGACAAGCAGCTGCTGAGCCCTCCAGGGATCCACAGGGAGTCCTGCTGGGCTGGGACCCAGGACCACCCTGGGGCTGGGATCTGGGGGCATGGGGGAATTGGGGAAGGGGGCAGAGACATGCTGTGGATCAGTGGTGAGATGGGGGCCCACTGGGTTAAGGAGCTGCTGTGAATAAATGAGATTTCAGAAGGGATTTGGCAGAACATGTTTGACAGAAACAAAGGCCGATCAAGGTCAGAGCTCAGGAATCTCCAACGCAGCGCAAACATATTTCCATAAATATTAAATAGCGACCAAGAGGGCTGGGGGTGTCTCTGCTCATCAGGTGGGGCAGTGCTGGGCTGGGGGGAGCCAGAAACTCCTGGTCAGGGGGACAACACTGCCTGGAGCTCACCACAACTGCTCCAGAACCTCGAAACTGTGCGGGCCCCTAAGCCTGATCGAAGGAGGCGGCTGTGCTGGGGCACACCAAAAAACCAGCCTGTTCTCCCATGGTGCACATTGTGGGCTGCAGCTGCCCTGCCCCTCCAGCTCTGCCATGGCTGGGGGGAATGAGGGCAGAGCCATGTATTTCTGTGTGTGGAAAGCATGGGTTTGGGCACGTGGCTGCTGTCACGAGCCGACACGGGCTGTGTAGATGCAGAGTTTGGTTGGAGCAGCTGGTGACTCTCCCTATGTCTGCATCCACCTGGTGCTTCTTGTGATGAGAGATCCTTGTGAGTCCTTTAAATGCACTAACACTTCCCTAAGCCCAGTGGGGTGACTTTTTTCTGCTCACAGCGAGCTGGTGCAAGGGCAAAAATGCTGCAGCCACAGCCTGAAAGTTCCTAGTTTCTGTTTGTTGACTGGAAACAGATTATTTGAAAACTGTTAAAAATCTTCAGTGGTAAAAAGCACATCGATTCTGTAAAATGACAGATTCCAGTTAGCTGTGGAACCTGTTTATGCAGAGGGGAGGCAGTAAAATGGTAGATGGGGGTGAAATGTAGTAGCAAGGCAAGTGCTGGGCTGAAATTCCTGAAGTTTTCAGTTGACTTTGCAACCTGAATAGCTGTTTCCCAGCACGATGGGGCTTTGGTCTGGAACAGAGAGGAAACCAGTAAAACAGCTCAGCAGTAATCCAGCTGCCTGCCTCCCAGAGGAGAAGTGGAAAGGGAAGGCAGCCCCTTCCCAGAGCTGGGATGTGCATGCC